GGATTCGATTGGATCTTGATATTGGATCATTATCAAGATCCAATCGAATCAATTTTTGTTATTTTCGTTTTTTGAACTTTTTCGTTCTTTTCGTTTTTGATTGATTGATTGATTGACAATCAGACTTGCACTCTCACKCTGCGCTCACACACACACACACGCTGAGCGCTATCTACAACTATGGCGGGGTACCGCCACTACCAGTAGCCATGGCTACACTGCCCACTTCGACTTCGGGCCATCTGCATACTTATTCGACTTCCACTTGGACTTTGACTTTTTTTTATATCAATCAATCAATCCAATCAATCAAATCAATCGATCAATCAAATCGATTGATTCAATCGAGGAGGAGGAAGAGGAGGAGGAGGTGGAGGGTGGTTAAGGGGGACGATCTACTTTACTTGGCGGGGGAGAAGGAGGCTGGGCGATGGCAAGCGAAGGTGGCGGCGATGCTCGAAGATCGGGGACGTGACGACCAGCAGGCAGCGCGGCCGTGGGGCGATGGGCCGTTGGTGGGGAGGGACCGGCAGGCCTCACGCACTACACCAAGCGCAATCCGAGACGGGGGCTGCGTGAATTCGAATTCAAAAAAGGCTCGATCTGGGCCATGGATCGTCTTCGATCAACGACCCAGATCGGGCCTTCTTTTTTTCGAAACCGGTAGGCCCCCTGCGAAATCCGACAGTGGGAGGGTGTTCGGGTTGCCGCCTAGTACCCCGCCAGGCCCCCCAAAAAAAATTACGAGCCCTGCGCATATTTTGCGTAGGCCCCGGAAATACTATTTCCGGTATTATCCGGTGCCCTTTTTCTGGCCGGATAAACCGGATATTTAGAGGGCATCCGGATATCCGGAATTTCTACTCAGTTTATATATAACATCTTCTGGCCATACATCTTCATAGTGATAATCTTTAGATTGTAGAGTATCTAGATTCAAACAATTTTGAAAAGAATGAATCAAATTTAGATTGTTACAATTACCATTTATTCTTGACTAATGTGCACAAGAATCTTTAACTTCAAACCAATTATTTCCATGTTTTAATTAACAATTATAATTGAAATATTTGAAAGAAAACATTCATTAAAAGAATACAAAATATATACCACATATATACAATTTATACAATATATCTATATACAATATCTCAGAATTTTCTTTTCATCATAAAAAAAAGATAAATCCAATAGAAAAATAAAAATAAAAATAGACATGCATTCACTACGCGTCCCAGATAGCCATCACCTATAGGGATTTGTGCAATTTTTCCAGTAACTTTTACCGAACTGCCTTCTTGTATAGTCAACCCTTCTCCAGTTAAAACAACTCTTACATTATCGGATTCTAAATTAAGCGCGATTCCTACAGTGTTATCTTTAAATCATTAAATACTCGTAGTCAGCCATTTGGTTTTATTACTTTTTTTATAGCATCCTTAGTAGAATGTGAAAGATTACCATTTGATTTGCCAGAAGCTAAAGAATTAGTAGCAGGTTATCAGATTGAATATTCTGGTATAAAATTTGGAATCTTTTATGTTGCTTCATGCTTAAACTCATTAGTCTCATCTTTATTTGCCGTAGTGCTCTTTACTTCATATTAATATTAGTTACTATATAATTATTTATTTGATTTTTTATTTCTATTGAATGAATAATTATAATGAGTATTTATTATGTTTTTCGAATATTTCCTTCATTTCTCTCTCTCTCTCTCTTTATATAATCTCTCACTCTTTATATAATATAGAGAGAGATTAATAATATTATTAAAGATTATTGATCTTATCTTATACATCTATTTATTATTGATTATTTTAGGAAATTGTACTACTAGCTTCTAAACGAGCTTTAGATCGCTTAAAAGCCAATTTAGCTATATTAATTTGTTTCCTCCCTTTTGCTTGAAGCAAGTTTTGTTGAGCAAGTTTATCGCCACAGATGCTAAAGGCCAACGCTAGCTTGGGGACATGAACGTACGCGTTTAGCAAATTTAATTCGTTGGAAAGACAAACCTGTAGCTCTTTCAATTGTACAAGCAAGATTAATTGGTTTATCTCATTTCTTTGTAGGTTATATATTTACTTATGTTGCATTTTTAATAGCTTCTACTTCTGCAAAATTTGGTTAATTAAAAACGAAGAAGCTGTGTGACTTATAGGCTGCGCGGAGATGTTGAAAGATGGATATGGCGAGGCTGTGAAACAAAGATTTCACTCATTTCTGGATTAAATCGAGTGAAAGAAGATGCGTTGTGGGGGTGTTCGATCCTTGCGACTTTGAATCTGCTGTTAGTTTTGGAGTTAGATTAGTGAAGTAGAAGTTAGTAGGAAGAAGAACGTGCGTGAGGCTGGTACCGGAGGTTGGGACGACCAGGCAGGAGGCGCTTACCACGGGCAGTGACGAGCTGCATGTCAAGAGAAAAGCAATGAATCACTCCGTGTTTTAGCGGAACATTCATTCTGATTTTGCTCATCCTATCAATGGAAAGTTATCTCGATCCCTCCCTCCCTCTCTCGCACACACACACAAGATAGTAGTGTATTCTTCCATGCTTTGGTGGTAGATCAATGCGATTTTGCTCAACTGTCGGTGGACGTAGCGTGAAGCTAGCCGCGCTGTTATAGACTTACCTGTTGATTGATGCGGCGCTAACCTGACAACAGGGATAATGAGGGGCAAGCCAAAAGCACTGGAGTTGTATTGGCCGGTGCGATGCTCACCAAGACGGTGGAACACCTCGCTCTACCTCTCTGCATTTCTAACTGGAAAGCCGTGTATATTCCCATATTTTAACAGGAGATTCGTGAGACTTTACTCATTTTGGCGAGGAGGTAACCTCTATCTGTCCCCCTGTAGCTACGGTTGGAGAAGGGGAAGTACACGGGTGGTGTATTTGCATGTGTTCCTAGTGGAAGATTCATTCTCGTTTTGCACATCGGAGGAGCCTGCTGCTCGTCGGGGTAGTCACCACGCTGCTCGTGGTTGGCGCATAGGCCGTCGTAGTGGTACTCTCATCACGGTCGCCTTGCTACCTCTAGTGCTGCTCGTCGACTCGATCCCTGCAGCACGCTGTCACTATGGCCATAGTTGCAGGGTGAATCTAACCGCCTAATACGGCTAGAGGCCGATCTACTGAGGAGAGTGTTCGAGGTGCTAATGCACCTAACCGACATCTAGTGGAAGATTCATTCGGGCTTGCTCATTCTCACGAAGGGTGTGGCGGAGGAGGCCAGCCGCGGGGATTGGCAACTTACCTGTTGTCGGCGCGTTGCTCATCCTATCGTTGGAAGTAGGCTCCCTCTATCGCCCCGCACGTATGTCTGGAAAGCAACGTATCTTTCTGTGTTCGAGCGATAGGTTCATTGGATTTTTACTTGGTTCGGGTGATGAGAGCAGTGCGAGTGAAGGCAGCGGGGTTGAAGACTTACCTGGTCGGCTGGTGGGCTGCCCATTCTAATGATTGCGGTGCATGAGGCTGCGGGAAAGGGGAGACCGCTTGCTTGCCTAATCGCGTGGCTCATGCCTTGCTGAAGATTGTCCGGCGGATTGACCCGGCCGTTGCCAAGTCTTCACCCACTATCGGACTGCTTATGATCGCTCGTCGAACCTGCAGTTCTAATCTTGGTGCGCATTCGGACGGGCTTGGTCGTGTTAACGACCACGCAGGTTCATGGGCTAGTGAGATGTGGATGGCGAAAGTAGTACCTCAGCACAGTAACGGGCGATCAGAGGAAGCGGTGTAATCTGAAGGGGTGATGGAATGCCTGCAGAGGGCGTTGCTGAGGGCTAGGTGCCCCTCCAGACCAGCTCTGTTGTGGCTTTGCAAGGTTGTGGGAACCTCGATTGCTGCCTTTGGTGGCAAGTTGTCACGCCTCCTCTTAGTGAGGTCAGAATAAGAAAGGCGAGTGCAGCTGAGACTTCGGGCGTTGTGGAAAGAAAGGTCTGTCAACGATCCAGCGGCGACGGAGTGTAAAGCTACTGGATGCGGGGTTATGATTGAATGCTTCAGAATGAGAACATGTATGCTGCGGTGATGCGGCGAAGCACAAATTTGTGTCGTGCTATTATTGGCCGCACTTGTACGGAACAGAGTTGTACATGCGGCGCACACTTGTTGCTGTTGCATGAAAGGAACTCGCTGTTGCATTGAGCTTGTTACTGTGCCGTCTTCGTTGGCTGCTACTCATGCTGGCTGCATTCGCAAGTTGCAGCTGCTGCTGGTTGCCGACCATCATTGCGGCTGCAACCCCTTGAGAGAGTTGCTGGTACGGTGTTGTTGTTAACTCTAGGACGAGTACAGCTCTGTTGGTGGAGACTGTTGCTGTATTACTTGGCAACTGTTGTGAGTCGGAGGTCCGAAGGAGTGCCATCCCCTCAAACGCATGGTCGTGAGTTGGCTGGTTCTAGTGTGACTTAGAGAATGGTCGAGCTGCAAGGAAGGGAGGTTGTTGCGGCGAACTAGGAGGTCGTCCGAGGGTTCATTTCGGTGGTTTTATTTCAGTTTTGACCAAGCTGTTGCTGTTTGGCCATCATTGCGGGGCCCTCAAACGCATCAAGGAATCAAGGCCCTCTCCTAGGAGTTGAGTTTGTCCCCCTCCTGTACCTCGAAAGTCTGAAACCCCTACTTCTGCCTTTCTTAATCTAAGTCTAGTGGTGTTACGAGAGGAAGGCGGCAGGCGGGATTGCAACCCGTAGGACCGCAACAAGACTCTTTGGGGAGTCAGCCCACCGATTGTGGGAGCTCTGCCAGAACTCAGGAGGAGTTATGGAGGCAGGGAATTGAGAGGTAACCATTGCTTCCCTTTTATAAACCTTGTTATAACCCTTATCTGCACCCCTGAGTATACTGTGTGCATCCCTATTTTGACTTTTCAGTTTGACTTTCAGGACACAAACCAGACTAAGTAAACGAATGTATGTGCAATGTCAGTTTCAGTTTCATTGTTTGACTGAAAGCAGATTCTGGGCTTGCATCTGGGGGAAGGTTGGGAGGAAGGTTGTAATGTTTGCTTTAACTGGATCTATCAGAGGCTGGGCAAGTCTCCTTAAGTTTGGGGAGGCCCAGTGCTATGTTTATTTTGAATTGCCTGGAGAACCAGACATGTTCCATAAGGTTGGGTAGTCTGGTTGCTCCGATTTGTGAGGGTTGAATGTGAATGGCTTTCAGGGACCAAGCATGTTCCATAAGTTTGGGTGGCTCTGTTGCCTTGTTTACTTTGGGTTTCTTTCAGTTTCTTTAGTTCTTGAACGAGTAGGTCTGAGCATGTTCCATAAGTTTGGGTGGCTCAGCGTCTTTCTGCTTTGGCTTTAAGAGAAATACGAACGATGTTGAGGACCAAGACATGTTCCATAAGTTTGGGTGGTCTTGGTCCAACGCCACGCACATGTTGGAACCAGAAGGCTGTTACTTGAATATACTTTATTACTGTTCTATCTATGAACAGGCTAGTCAGACAGGGTTCCATAAGTTTGGGTGGTCTGACTATAGCTTATCACCAACTAAAGAGAGTACTAATTAAGAATAAACTAGTGGTACGAAGGGGCAGGCTGAATCTTGAGCTAAAGATGATCGGTTCAGCTATATGCTACCTCAAAAGACTAAGTAAAAATAATTATATAAATCTTGGATACAGTTCAGGGTGACTAGGGTGGCCTAGTCGTATACCCAAAGAAGAGAAAAGTTGTTGTGCCCTGTGTTTGTGTATACTCCATGGCTGAGCTAGACATGTTTCATAAGTTTGGGTGGTCTAGCTTTATGCCTTATGTAAGCTGGGTATAAAGGGATAAATCATTGAGAGGCTATGAACTATTGTTTCATAAATTGACTTTGGGATGATGAGAGTACTGTGGGTGGGCCTGCATGAGACTGAGTGCGACTACTACTTAGTCTGAGTTTCAGTTGATAGGTAGTTGCTTTAGTTGCTCGCCACATGCTAGAGCCATAGGAGTTACTTCAATTTATTCATTTTCTGGCATCTTTTATTATACTTGGGCTTGTATAATTGTTGGTAAGCCACTTTCTCTATGGGAAGCGCTGCCGAAATTTCTACAAAACCAAAGAGTTGGTCAGATTTTGTCTTTTTCAGGGTCCGGTTTTTCAGACTCTTTGACGTTGTAAAAACTAACGGGAGTGCTGCCCAAATTTTTGCTAATTCAGGGAGTTAAACAAAATTGGACCTTGAGAAGTCAAAGTCACTTTAGATTTTGAACTTAGCTTTGTATAAATCTTGGAATAACACTTTCTCTTAAGTGTTGTCGAAATTTCTACAAATCTAAGGGGTCAGTCGAACTTTGTCTTTGAGTCGAACGCAAGTCTAACTTTTGAGTTCCTATCCGACTCAGTATAAATCTGGGAAGCCTACCTTTCTAAAGGAGATGTTGCCCAAATTTTTACTAATTTAGGGAGTTAGACCAAGTTTGACTTTCCAAAATTGAAGTTTGGTTTTTGTTTTCTTATTTGAGTTATTATAAATTATGGAAAGGCAATTTTCCTATGGGAAGCGTTGTCGAAATTTTCTTAGTTTAAAGGAGTTAGATTATATTTTGGCAGGTGGCAATTCTGACAATCCTCTTTGTATAGAAGAGATTCTGCCAAAGGTCTACCTTTTCTTTAGGCATTGGCTTAGAGGTAGGCTTAGACTTAGTTTACAGGAAAACCTCGAGTGAGATCGTGATATGGAGATTACTCTCGATTTGGACTCATAGATTTACCTTGGGGATTGACCTGTCTTGTGTTACAGGTCCTCTTGAACGTTTGATTCGATATCATGATTAGATTCAGCTTGATCCTGAGCTTGATTTCAAACTAAAAAGACTCAATCATGCAAAACACGGCGAGACGCCCATCTATGTGTTTGATGATTGATTTGAGATCGTGATATGGAGATTACTCTCGATTTGGACTCATAGATTTACCGTGGGGATTGACCTATCTTGTGTTACAGGTCCTCTTGAACGTTTGATTCGAAATCATGATTAGATTCAGCTTGATCCTACAAGGATCACCTTCTGCTATCACTGATAACAGGTCGGTTGCTGATTGGTCGGTCTACGACTCTACTCCAATTCATCTTCAATGCTCAACCTGAAAGGCTTTAGCCCTGGTGATTTTTATTGTTTTATTAAACCACTAGTACCTCCGCCAGTGTTGGGAAAATACGATCTACTGGTCTGTCCCCTAAGAAACCAGGATCCCATCAGGGTCGGAAATGTCCCATAAATTTGAATTTCATATTGCCGCGAGTGAATAGAAAAAGGGGGAAAAAAAATGCTTTCTCCACTGCAATGATGTCGGGCTGGGTCCAGGAGGCCGTGCTCACGATCTTCCTCCACATAATGCACCTTACAAGTAAGGCAGTCACATTCTGAATGTTACAGTTTTATTTTTTTTGTTGGTCGTGTGTTTCTTATGAGTCCCCTGTCCGTGAATTGGTCAAGCTGTCCGTGATCTTCTCAAGTTGTGTTTTGTCAGAGTATTATAAGGCTCATCACATTGGCACTTAGGGGAATGTATCCAACCATTTTCACGGCCGCATCCATGTGCTTGTTTTTCCCCCTTTTATTCTCTTTTTGGAATCTGACAACCTCAACGACGAATCTTAAACCCTAAATTGTAGTGGAGCCAGACTCACTGAAACTCAGCCTTTGCTTTGTACTTTTCTTTCAACCTTCCCCCCCCCCCCTCCTCTTCCTTCTAATTGGTTGTCTGCCTTAGTACGTGTTCTAGAAGGGGGCATGTCTATGGGCCTCGCCTCTCCACGCCCCAAATGTGCAAAATGACAATTGAATTGAATCTTCCGCTAGAACGATGCGAGATGGAAATACATTCTGCACCAACGCGCCTAGCTCAGATTTTTTTTATTTTTTTTTTCTTATTTAGCTCAGTTTGTACACCCATGCCACCCATGAAAAAGAATATGCGCTGCACCAACGCCCCTAGCTCAGGGCATACTCCCACTAGGACCTTGTTACTTATTTCTGGACGGAATTGCGGCTAGATACATACAGGTGTGGCCGAAATTACGGTCTGATGCATTCTGGAAAGTGCAAGTGCGAGTATGCCATGGGGCTGAGATGCCCTCATTGAGGGCACACTCACACTACCACTTCCAAGAATGTATACAACTGCAATCACGACCAAAGCTTTGTTTCCTTTTTTTTTTCCTTCGCGCGCGGGTGCACGCGCTTTTTTTTTTTTTTTCAAGTCTCAATGGACCATGGATCTCACATGAAACTAATCGGAGCACATACTACACTTGATCGTGGAGGTGGGTGGGTCTCTCTCTCTCTCTCTCACACCATGGATCTCACATGAAACTAATCGGAGCACATACTACACTTGATCGTGG